CCGGCCGGTAATGCCCGTCTGGCTGCGTCTCCCACAAGGCGCTGGCGGGTCACCAGGAGGAGATTAGCGAGATAAGGAGAAAGCTCTCCAGCACGTTCCCATCGCCATGCGCCATCCCTGCCCGCAGCCTCCCCCTGCCCCAACTGTCACACGTGGCACCGTGGCCGCAAGCTGGAAGGGCCTCGTGTGAAACACCGACACGGGCCACGTGCTCCCTCAGCCGCACCACCACCGATGTGCACCCCAAATGTGCCACCACGCCAAACGTGTCACCACGCTTTGGCTAAGCAAGCGAGCTTGAAACCCGGCGCTGATCCCGGGGGTTGGTACCCGCAGGCCGGGGAAGCAGCTCCCCCCAGCTCGCCGGCGAGCAGAGATCCGTGTCACCGCGCACCAGAGGGCACACGCTGACCACCTCGGCTCTTGGAGAGGAGTCAACACACAAAACCTTGGTCCCAAGCCGCGTTCAAGTGCCAGCAGGAGGCAGGGGACACCCGAGTCACCCCACACTCGTGGGGAGCTGTTCTTTGCACGCACAGAGTGGGGTGGAAGGCTGCGGGGGGGAAGCCACAAACCTGCATCACCCTGCAAAGCAAAACCTTGTCCCCAGCATGTGGTGCAGGTGACAGCTCTTTGCTGTCACCTTTTGCTGTCGGGGGTTATCGCTTGGCGATGCCCCCCATGATGGGCAGATGCCTCGTGGGGGCACTTAAAGGGGTGCAGGGTGGAGGGTGGCCCAGCACCAGTAAGGACTGTGGGGCAAGGAACCAGTGCAGGTGAAGGTAGGGAAGGGAAAACTGCAGGAACCTAATTAAGAAGAAAAAAGGGGGGAAAAAATTAATAGCTCTTCAAAAAGCACTTGCTGAGGCTGAGCGATCCCACGAGGGATTAATCCAGTGTGAGCTCGGGCCCTTACGCAACGGATGGAAAATTCAGCATGAAATTTCTGGGGGAAAAAATGGCTCTTTCACAGGAGCCCTGTGCACCCCGTGGGCAGCAGCTTCCGAACGGAGGGTAAAATGGGGAGGAGGTGTTTGACCCCGGCGGGACAAGGCAGAGGGCAGAGCACGGCAGCACCAGCCGTCCCTGCGGAAGAGGAGCCGGTCGGCTGTGGGCAGGAGGCCGGCTTTCCTGAGGGCTACGGAAAAATAATACGGCATGAGAATATCACATAGCTCTTGTTTCTCCAAATAGGTTGTTTTTCCACTGCCTCACAAAGGCCCCAGTATCGTCTCTCTTCTTATTACTCTTTGTGTCATATGCAGTTAATTATTCATCCCCTTTCTGCGCTCGATGTGCTGCTCCATGAGCGGACACGACCCGCTCTGCTCTCGCCTCCCCCTGGGTGCTTCTGCCCCGGTGCGAATTGCTTCAGCTCAAAGCTTTGGCCGTGACCCCAGAGGGCTCAGCAGTACCGGGCTCCTTGCAAGGCTGATGCCACAGGCTGGATGGAAGAAATTGTGGCTGCAGATGCTCAAATTAACAACCTGAATGGCTCCTGGCCCTGCTTGGGCACTTGGTCTGGGTGCAGCGTGCCAGTGGCGAGGAGCGGGGACTGCCAAGGAAGGGTCGGGGTGCTGTTCTGATCTGCAGACTGTGAAGGGGGGAGAGGAGGACCTGGGCAGGTATTTCTGATGAATACAATGATGTGTCTATCCCTTGGGACCAGATTCCCACGTCCCGGTGGTGGCCCCGTCCCTGCACGGCTGCGGCAGGGGAGCAGCACTGGCACATGCTGCAGGCTGTGAGCGTCAGCTGCAGCTCGGCGCTGAAACGGCCGAGCGAAAACAGAAAGAAAAAGTATCTGGTTGATCCTCTTTCCATTAGCTCAGAGGGCAGTAGAAGTCTCCAGGTCAGATTTCCCTCTCGGTGACTCAATGCCAAGGAGAGAGGAGCGGCTGGAGGTGTGTGTGTGTGTGTGTGTGTGTGTGTGTGTGAAGTGTGGGTCCCACGGCTCAGGGGGAGCACAAGGACATGACACCCCCACTGCTATCCCACCCCAGCAGCTCTGCCCAGCCACTGCCACCCTTCTACACAGCTATTCCTGTAAAAGCCACCCAAGAGCCCCCAGATCCTGCCTGGCCATGTCCCCACCCCAATCCCTACCACTTTGCCAATCCACTGATGACATTTACAGGTAAAGCAAAAAAAAAAAAAAAAAAAAAAAAAGCATCTATCCCTCCGGGTGGCAGAGGGTGATTTTAGAGCCTGACACCCCCAGAGCTCCAAAGGCCAAGGAGAGAAGCCAAGGAGAATCCCACCAGCACCCAGAGCACCTCTCCCCGCTCGCACCATGTCCTCAGTGCGCCGTGCTGCCGTGCTAATCTCAGCTGTTTCATCATTAACAGGCCTAAACGCTAGATGGAAATACCATCCTCTCTATTAGCTCTGCGCAGAGTGGTTTAAAAATCACTTTGGACGGGACCAATTTGCAGTTGCCTGACTGAATCCTCGCAGACACACGGTGCTGGGCTGCCCGGGATCCCCTCCAACCCTACGCCGGGGGTCCCACCCCACTGGCAACCAGCAGGTCCTGTTCTTTCTCCCTCAAATCCCGCTCTGGGAATCAGACCGGGGCACGTCCCTGCTTTCACCTCCCCACAAGAGGAACATCAACCCCAGCAGCCCCCGGCCTTCTGTCCTGCACACCCAGTGCCACCAGCGCTGCCCCAAGGGACGGTCTCCTCCCAGCAGCGTTTTGGGGTGCTCTGCACCCAGTTCTGCCCCAGCCCCCCAGGGATATCCCCAAGGCACAGCCCTACCTTATCAGCCAGGCACTCGGTGTCCTCGGTCAGCAGGTAGACGGCCCCACTCTCGGCCAGGAGGATGGCAGTGTCGGTGGTGGAGGAGGACCTGGGCCGGCCCTGGTGCTGATGCAGGATGGCGGTGAGGCTGCTGTCCTGGGGTGCCTTGCGGATGAGGTGGGGGCTCCCTTTTTGGGGCTCCAACGAGCTGCTCTTGGCCCGCCGGCTGCCGCTGTGCAGGCTGGTGCCGCGCTTGATGGAGGGGCGAGAGCGGATCTGCTGCAGCACCCGGTTGAAGGCGGTGGGACGCGCCGGGAGGTCGTGCAGGGACATGGCGTAGGAGACGCGGTGCATCTCCGGGGAGCGCTCCTTCTCGTCCGGGGAGTCGTGGTCGGACGCGCCGTAGTGCGGCGGCAGCGAGTCCTGTGAGTTCTGGTGCTCCCGCTCTCGCGACCGCCGGCGGCTGTGGAAAAGGTGCTTCAGGCCATGGCCAAACATGGACCCTTCGGACAGCTGCTGGATTTTCTGCAGGAGAGGAAAGAAAACAACCCATTACTATCAGGAAGGGTCAGCATCGCCCCGCTTCGGCACGCACAGCTCTGACGGACGGTGCCCACGCTAGTGCTGAACCAAAACACAAAGCTTGAGAGCTTGAAGAGCTTCTGGAGGGCTCTGGGGACTCCACACCAGCCCAAAGGGATCTGTGAAAGGGAACCAGCCCTGCTGCCAGAGCTGCACTTTATACCTGCGGAAAAGTATTTAACGTTAGTGGCTGTTTGATGGCACGCAGGGCTGAGCACAGGGGCTCGGGACGGCTCAGGCGTGCAGCTCCAACAGCGTTCCCCACGCCGGGG